AAATTCCTGCAGTTCCTTCTAGCGGGAGTAAGAGTGTGCTACGTTGTAGGGTTTAAGGTGGGGAAGAAGCTGAAAATTCTTCCGAAAAAGAAAAAAGAAAAAAAAAAAAAAAAAAACTGAGGATAGAAAAACAAGAAAGAAATGTCAGAAGTGGGATTTGAACCCACGCCCTCTCTCGAGGACCAGAACTTGAGTCTGGCGCCTTAGACCACTCGGCCATCCTGACTTTGGTGTTTGTACTTTGAAAACATCACATTTAGCTATATTGATTTTGGCCATTGGTTGTATATTAGAGAAATTTTTTTATCCATTCGAATTAAGTTATTAGCCTTGACTGGAGGGGAAAAAAGTTTCCTTGCACTCAAATCAAACAAGTTCTTATGCTCTATCCATTATCACACAAAAAGTCAATAAAACCTCTAATATAATAAAGAGTATAAAATTTAATAATTTTAATATTATAAATTTGAATCTTATCTTATAGACATTTTAATAGTTTGTTATAGTAATTATCTCTTAGTCCTATCTGAATGTAATTTATATTAGGCTATGCTTTACATCAAAAAGGCTAATACCAAAAAGCTGGACAAGAATGAAGAAACCCAATACTTAACTGAAATTGAAGAAATGGTTGAAGAGTTATAATTCTTCTAATGTCAACAAAATAAAGGATATCTGATGCAGAATTAATTGGTAATTACCACACCGCTGGGACTTGATGGGGATGCAAAACTAATGAAGGAATGAGACGAATGTTACTACTGAATATGTAGATGGGAAGTAATGACACTCTTTCTTCTCCATTACTCACGACCTACTGATTCCACTTGGAATTTTTGGTTTTCCCATTCTCTGTTGCTGTAGCTGAGGAGGCTGCTGCTGCCGCTCATGGATACTCAACTGGGAAACTTGCTGCTGTTGCAGCTGGAAACATCTCGGGGTTAGAAGAGATCTCTGCTGGGAGGCCATGCCTTTAGAAGGATCAGAGTCGCCACTCAGCTCGAGCAGCAAGCTTCAAGCGTCAGACCTCTGCAGTCAATGCTTCATTTAGAGCTGTCGCAATCCAATACGTTTCAGAAGTTATTTGAGGAATGACAACTCAATAACTACAAAAACCTTCCAATTAAAGTGTTAGGTAGCAGGTACCTTAATAACTACTGCTTAGGTGACTACGCAGTAGTAAACAACAAATTAAATTACTAAAGTATGAAAATATGACGTTGAAATATCCAATTTATAGCACTATATGTTCAAGTCTAAATTTACAAGAACATATTGCTGCAACTATACTTCCAAGACAAGATAAGTTTCAGCAGGCTCTATCATTTCTAATCTATAAAGTTGCAGGTATCTCATAATCTACTACATGTTCAAGAAAAAACAGATCAATAACTGTATTTTGTGTTGGGAGGCCATAAATGATTTCCATGCCCAATATATTATGACTACACAGGCCTTATGCATGCATAGTGCATTACATTCATCAAGTTGTGGTTATGGTAATGCAAATTGCACGGTGCATTATGTTCATCAACTTGTGGTTATGATCATACAAATTTTGTTCAGTTTGACTAATATTTATAGTTTTTTTCTTAAATAATTATTTATGATATTTAAAAATAATAATTTATAAATTGATTTCAATTTATTAAGTAATAAATATTAATTATTGACTATTTTTAACAATCAAATCAAATAAAACTAATATTTTTTAGATAATATTATATTATTTTAATAAATTAATATGTGATCATAACTTCATCTGTCATAAAATCGTAAGCCAATTTTTTTCCTCCGCAATTTCAAATTTCGGATTAGAAATCTGGTAACGACGGTGAATGCGAAGAAGAGGGGGTAGATTGCCCATGTTAAGGATGGAATCGTGGATGGACATACAGGGTAATGATCTTTTCGCAGCATGACCAAGGGGCTCGTTGATTAATAAGAAATTCCACAAGGAGCAATGGTAATCATAGATGATTTAACAAAACAAAATACCGCTTTGTTATGGCCGAGTATGCATTAACTCGGTAGCTAAGTAGGGGAAATTACAATGCCCTAAATCCTATATAGCAGAGGAGCAAATGATAAACCTTCCCTTCAAACAAGCTCTATCATTTCCTCTCCTGTGGTTTAGTATTGATTGCCACCAAAGCTATAGGCCATGGTTAAAACCTGAACAGTCATAGGCTAGGCTCAGTGAGGAAACAGGCTTCATCTTCAGGTTTCATCACAAGCTACTTGATGGTGATGTAGCGGTTCGTCCCGTGTTTAGCCCAGAAGTTCTTGAGATCCACAGGTACTGATAAATCGTGGCCCTCAAAACTCAGCCGACTAATCAATTTTGTAAAGACACTACCACTCATCTTTCGGCCACCCACTCTCACATGGCGCTTGTTTGGCATCTGTGGCAGTGGGTATGATGACAGAGTGGTGGTGCAACAAGAAGACTGCCACCCACCACTTCCCCATTTGTAGCATTGTCGAGGAACTCCTGTGCAGGAGCAAACTGGTACTGGCATTGTGGAATCATCAAAATTGACCAGTTTCAACCCCATATTTTGACCATCCCAGTCGGATCTGAACTTCTTCACATCACCACCAGCGTGCTGATCTAAATCCTTGCTTGCTTTCTTTGCATTCCTTGGGGACTTTTGTTTCTTCAAAGAAGCCTTATTTTCTTTTGCCTGACATGACTTGACTGCTTCAGAGGTAGTCATGGTCATGGGAAGGGCATTGGTTAATTGCATCTCCCCTGTGTTCAGAGTCTCAGCCACATCAGTTGAATGGTATGTTGGGTGGTGCATTCGCTTTGCTCCACGTTGCATTCCACTTCCCATGGAGAAGTTATTTTCCCGGTATTGAAGCAAAGCTAAGGCTTTGTCTCTCTCCATTAAGGCACAGTCTCGCTCAGCAAGTGCTCTATCTCGCTGCTGGAGGGCCTCATCTCGTGCAGCCAATGCTTCCTTCTTTTCAGCAAGTGCTATATTCCGTTCTACAATAGCTGCATCTCTTTCATTGATTATGGACATGATTTTCTTGTTCATGACCAGAGCATTATTTTGCTCCTTTACTTGATGTGGTGGCATCATATTCCACTGCACATATCGATTTGTATCCTAGTTAGATGGATCAACAATTGGATAATAAAAAACAAAGATAAAACAAACAAGGATTGGCAGACAACAATTTACTCTCTACTTACTGGAGGGAGTGCTCCTTTGCAGTAATCCACCCTATACCTCCCATTTTCATGTTGCCCATGACCATCCATTTCAATGAACCCTATCTGAAGTGAAGTGGAATTTGTTTGTCAGCTGCTCCTAGGCAGCTAATCTTCAAAATACCAAAGATTAATTAGTTTCCTGAAGAGAGATGAAACAAGCATATGAGCAGAAAACTAAAGTGGATTTCAATACAGATGGTCAAGGTAGTTGCGAGTAGCAAGATTTGAGTAAAGTAACTGGCAATGAGATAAACTGATTTCTCCACTAATCCTGGGAAACAGAGAGCTAGGAACCAAGTGAAATCAAAACACGTAGCATTAGAGCAGCATTTTTACTGATTGAACTTCCTCCTAGAGAACATTGCTGCTAAAGGAGAAATAAAACCAAAAGATATGCACAAAAACTGACAAGTGAAGTTTAGCAACCATGACTTAAATAGACATAATCCTTCTATTGCTTCTACCAAATCAGAAAAATGAAAGGAAGAAAATATGTATACCCACTCACAACACTGATGATGATTCCACAAATGTCAATCAAAACCACAAGAAATACAAAAGGACAGGAAAATCATTCTCATCCCATGACAAGAATATGTATCAAATCTCAAGTAGCAAAAAAGTGACTTAAATCTTACTTAAAACCTTCCCACCTAGCAAGATTTTAAATTAGGATAATTCAACTCAGTAGCGGCAACTCTGTCCCATCTCAAGAATCTCCAACTCTGATTGATTGGGAAGCACACCTGGCACATGCATGAAACAAATGTAATAATGCAATTAAGTATAACTCACTTTTTTTTTTTTAATATAACCTGTTCCAGAACACTAGGACCACACAATACAAGACAAATATAGTATAACAGTATAAAAGAATATCCTAGATTTTAGATGAAAACTCATCAGTCTATAAAGAGATGCAAGGGCAGGGACTTGGACATCATAATCTAACAAGTGAAAGTCAAAATTCAAAGTGCAAAATTTAGAAGATCTTGGAGCTACTTCCATAACAAGAGTTTTGAATTTATGAAACAAAATGCACTTAACAACTACTCACCTAAATTGTAACCAGCACCAGACAACGCCCACAGCTTCTTCAGTATGTGCTTGGTTATATTCAACAGACTTGATAAAACTAATCTAATGAAATTGAGACAGGTTTGTGTTACTAGGGAAGGCTATTACTCTAAATTACAGATCTCAAGTAAATCACAAAGCATTTCCAAACACAATGACACGGAACTATCCGTAAACGCAACCCAATATGAAAATTCAGGCTTCTATTGCAGATTCTAAACCTTTAAGACATGGTAATTCTTCTTACCATAGGCTTTACTTTTGCTCAACATCAAAAGGTTTCAGATATTCGCCTATTAAGTATAACTTTATAAGCAAAGTGAAAGCACAGTTCTAGTGCAAAACAACTTTACCATTGGTTACTTTTCTAATTAATGGTTTAGACACGTCATTCCTACTCATAAAATAACACTAGAAAAGTTGATTCCTATTTTAGTATAACATTTAAGAGATCATAGAGAAGTTGGAAGTTTCACACTGAACTTTCCAATCCCACAAACCATTATGTAAAGTTTGCTATTTTGCCCAAAAGGAAAAAAAATGGAAAAAAAAAAAAGAGGCAAATATTTTTCCATCTAAAAACCTCATTTTTTACTAAAAAGTAATTTAAGTGAAAAAGAAACGAAGGAAGAACCAGAAAACCAAGGCTACTCGCCATGAACTTACAAACCCTTAATTAATCACAAAACTTGACCAAAACCCATTAACAAGCATACAACTTGAGAGCCAAAGCAACTAAATTTCAGCTCAAATAAGCTAAAATAGATTAGCTAAGACAACCCGGGACTAATCCCACTACCATTTGAATTACTTCCAGTAAATCTAAAAGCTTCTAAATGAAAACAAAAAATATATTTGTATGCCATTAGAGTTCTAACCAGCTAAAGTCTCAGTGAACCAATGCTCTTCCCAGAATCAAAAGTGAAGATCCAAAAAGCACTAAGCATAAACCTAAACGCTTTGAGGCAGGAATCATGAAGGGGATGGATGTTATGGGAAGGAAGAGATCCATAGATCACATAAAAACGACATTGAAGAAAAAAGGAAAGAAGAAGAAAACCCACCTTGTATAAAAGAGGAAGGCGATGACGCCGGAAATCTGTCCTAGAAATGGAAACCGATTTCGAAACCAGGTTGATTGAAACTCAGGAATGTGACGCGTTTCTGTTTGTGCTGAAACTTAGAAATGATGCTCTTCCTTGCAACGACGTCGTTTTATAATTTATGGCCTGACAATATAAGAAGGAATTTTCTAAACCTG